CCCTGCAATTTTGGCCACGATGGGCGGCCCACTGGTATGCCCAACATGCTTACCGTGGTGGGCTGCCCCACGATGGGCTGCACATGTTGGGCTGCCCATGGGCAACCCATGGCCAGCCCATGGCGGGCAGTGTAGGCTTGCCCGTGGGCATGACCACGGGCGGCCCGTCATGGGTAAAAATGCAGCCCATGGAATGCCCACCATGAGCTGCCCATGGGCTGTCCATGGGTTGCTCATGGACGGGCGGATTATCAAAACCTCGAACGTGTGGGAGGCCCCTAGCAGGGGACGGGCGCGCGTCAACATGAACAAAAGGAAACGTGATCCGTCAGTGGACAGCAGTGGACTTCCGAACACTTACCACCCGTCCGTGGACTTGTCCGTGGACATGTCCGTGGACAACGTCCATGGTCATATCCGTGGACGCGTCCATGGACGTCCGTCCGTGGACGTCCGCGGACAAGTCCATGAACATGTCCATGGACGTTGTCCACAGACGTGTCCACGGACAGATGCCATGTAGTATCCTTCAAGCTGGTGATCCCCAGAGAAATTCCAACGGCAACAACGTGAAACCAGAGCGGAGCTCCCGCCCGGTCCGATGCCTATCGTACGTCTGCTCGCGCCAAAATTCCTCCCCTACACTACTAGCTGGAATGGACAAAGTGGTTCGTGCCGTAGAAATACTCCCACCTCGTCCACGGACATGGACACGTCCACGGACAGTCCACGGACATGTCCGTGGACATGTCCAAGGAAATGCCCACGGACAACGTCCATGGACGTCCAAGGACGTGCCGCGGACGTGTCTACGGACGTCCACGGACGTGTCCACGAAATGGTCAAATAATGTACATAACCCGCAGTAGCTCCTGTGTACGTGTATATGTACGTCCGCGTATTTGGCCCAGTGGCAGAGCTCGTGATGTCGTAAGGTTCGACACGCCCCAACGCCGCATGCATGGGTGCATTGTGGTATCCCGCCTCCTTCGATTGTCACGTTTCGTGGAGGCAACACTCCTGTCCGGTCGCCTTGAGTGCGAAGGAGTTGCTCAAGATTCCACGTCCAGCAGCAGCATGCTCGTGCTTGACAACATCCGTGAGTTCCCTGAACCCTAAACATCACGACAGCAGACAGCAGGAGTAAATTTCCCCATGATCACTTCGGTCTGGATTACGATCGAAGGGAGGACTCCAGCAAAGGCACCCGTGCTGTTGTGTGCAAGCCTTCGGCTCACGGCAAGTATGTGCTGTTGATCCGTATCGTTACCCCACCCCCAAACCCCCAACGTTTCGTTTTACTTCAAAAAGTGGCCGGCCCCTTAGTAGCAGGCGAGGGATGTCGCCAAACGTCGAAATCGGACTGGGCTGGGGTCTAGCCGAAGGTATTTTAGCACAACAATATTGACCGCACTCCTCCGCAACGGTTCCTTCGAGACATAGACTACAACGCAGACGTACACACAAAAGTCGACCTAGGTGACGACGCAGACATCACAACAGAAATGGATTCCCGTGTGCTCGTTGCGGTATTGTTTCTCCGTCGTCCAGTAAACTCACTGGCCGAAGCACGGGAGGTGCAGGGTATGCCGATCAACCAAGGGCATGAGATGACGCCGAACTCAGCAAAATCAGACATCCACGTAGCAATGCCGAAAACGCGAGTGAAAGCGCGGTCGAACAGGTTTCCGAAAATTGAAATTCTTGCAAAAATGTCTATTCGGTTTTCGCGGAGGGGTCGAAGCTGTCGAACTGAGTTGCGACGACGTCATGACAACGACAAAACATAGGTAGGCCTTTCGTGCTATTTGAATGGTCCCGGGGAACACACGGTAGGCTGCAACCTTTTATGGCGGTGTGTTGGTCTCGCGAATAGAGATCAGGGCTCCACTGAAGCACGTATTGCAGCGTGGCGGCGCACACCTCGAAGTATGCACGGTTGTTTCATGTAATCGGCTGAACGAACGGTGGTCACCCATCCAAGTTCTCGAAAACGACAGACGTGCTGCAGCCTAAGATCTACCGAAAACCAAGACGAAAGCTACTGAAGAATCGGACCATGTTGAACGCACAGACAGCGGCGTCGGTCAAAGTTCATCGCCCACGTGCCACATTCAAACTCATTCACGAAAAACGGGGAGCACCTCCGCTGCGATTTTCTGATTCTTTATATAAATCGGTTGTGCTCGCTTGCGATATGACACACTCGCAGATCCTTGTACAGCAAAACACCCGTCGTGCTGGTTCGTTGCGATTTTTTCAGACTTGTTGAGGTCGGAGACTAGGAAAGAAAACACGTGTATTTTGCTGGTGCGATTTCGACTAGTATAGCACGCATCGGAGCTATAACAGGGGTGTGCGCAAGAGTAGCGGCAACAAGCGGGTCTATCCCTTTTTCCGCCCAGAGGTTAAGGCGATCGCGCAACTCGTGGTTATCGTACGCTTGCAATGTAACACAAAAGCCCATGCGTTCACTCGAGCTTTTACATTACTGAGTTGTGGTTTCGACGGTTCTTCCCCCATGGTGCCATAGAGATTAGGCATGTTTTCAATATCATGTTCCGTCAGTGCTTGCGATTAGCCATCGACGTCATGGCCATTCATGCTGACAATGAGAGTCGCCGAAACTCGTGCTTTCAACACAGTTGCGGGATGCATCGCCGCCGCCAACGGCGATGGTCGGACTCACAGACAGGACACCGTTTCTCGGAGGTCAATTCCGACAGCGGCAGGGGGGCGTTGCCGCTGACAACTCCCCGTGTGGCGGCCGTCCTGAACGGGCATCTGCGGGCAGCGAACCTTTCCGTAAAGGTTAGGATGAAGTCCTTTCGTGTCGGGGGACCGTCGTGAACGAAATCGGGACACTTGGCGGTCGGACGACCAAACACATGTTCGAACGGCATATCGGGCCGACCACAAGCGGCCCTGGGGCGTTCCAAGCGCAAGCAAGGTGGCGATACTCGCGGATGATGATACGCCGTTGGGCCAACACCAAACCAACTCACAGACATTTTTCTTGTGCAAATGCGCATGATGACTGCATCAACAGCACCAAGAGGGGTTAAGTGGGTGTTGGATTGCGCTGGGTGAGTGGGATTGGGTTTTGTGGGGGGTGGTCTTGGTTCACGGCTGGGGTGGCGGTCGTGGTAGGTTGTTAGGTTCGGCAGTCGTTTAGCCAGCGTTGTTTGGGGTTGGACGGTGTTACGCCGGCCTCGTTAAAGTGATAGGTGGCCCTTTGGCCGACCTGGGTGGATCGCTGCCCCCGTCACTGCGGTTTTACGTTGTTCGTCGATGTCCAACGGAAAAAACGTTTGGAACGAACCAAGTCAGATGCGTTCACTCGAACTTCGCAAGTGGCCTAAACAGATCAAGTCGAGGTGGGGCTGCTATCGCACGTGGAAACTGTTGAAACCTGGGAAATGAGATGGACGGTGCAAACTCAGAGACAAAAACAATCCGGCATAGTAGGCGCACGAAGATGGAATCATTCCATTTTACGTTTTTGGTCAGTGTCGTTCGATTTGAGGTGTACAGTGTGTGCCATCCTCGTGTGTCGAGTGGCAGAGACGGGCTTTTTTTACCGTTTACTTTGTCCGACACATCGCCTGCGACGTGTGACTTGCTGGCCCTTTGGTGCGTTTTCTCTACCGCCTTTAGGTGATGTTGATTGTTCAGGGTCCTGTCAATTCCTGTTTGATATTTGTGCATACGCATGGTAGCCGATCGCCCCGAGTCTAGCTATAGTATCCTCGCAATCTTTAGCAACCAGGTAAATGGCTTCGAACCCCGACGTGAGCGAGCGCTTTTTCTTGCAAAGTGAGTTTTTTTCTCTCATCTTTTCTGGAGGTGGAAATCGCTAGTAGGTCGTGTGTACACTTTGAGGGAAGAGTGCTGCACTCTGCTAACGCTCGAAGGAAAGTACCGCAGGAGGTAAGGGGTGGGTAGGGGGCCTCAGGGAGGAACCCTTCAATATCACCCCGGACTTCTACCTTTTGTGGGAGTGGTTTGCCTGAAGCCACGGCAGGCGTCTGCATCAGCTGGACCAGGACGGACGCCAGAAAGTACTGAGCATCATCTCGATCGGAACCTTTTTCTAGGTGAAAACAACGACAACAGCAACAAGTCAGTGTTTTTCGCCGAACACAGCGCTGGACTCCTCCCTCCTGCGCATGGGTCACACGTTTGTGCGTGGTGAAAACTAGGCGTTGTGGCAGCTACTCAATCGACTATGTAGTAGGTAAATTCTGCGCACCCCCCATCGTAGCACGGTGCCAATAATGTTCCTATTTCGTGGTATCGATTATGTCGGTCGCAGCATTACCAATTCCACGGTCAGGGGGAAACGAGCTGCACCTTAGACCGACCTGACATGTCGTGCAAACAACAACTCTCTGTAGAAGGCTGTGCTCCGTTTGGATGCGAAGCACCTAAGTCCTGTAGTAGCTAGCTCACTTGTACTTCTCCATCTCTGGAGTGATATATGGTTACGGCATATCGGAGCTCCTCGACCCCACACTTACGTACGTCTGACAGCGTTTGTCGTCAGCACACCGAGTGTTGTACATGCCCAATAATAGGCGCTTACCATGCGAGGTCCACGACAGGTTGGTCACGAATGGCTGCCACATCAACGACAACACCGGTTCACTCTTAGCCGGCAGCTTTTACTCTCACTCACTGGAATTACATTGTGACAGCTGGAAACCGGTAGAACAATCTTAACAGCACCTTGATATCGTTCCTGAAGAGATGGGGGCGTCAGGGAACGAAGTCTTGATTGACTACACACAGACAAGGGATCTACGCAGCAATTTACAGCAGGGGGCTGGTTTGTTGGAATCCTCGAGCAAGCAGAACGACTGCTACGCCTGAAAACCCGAATGGTTGCAGGATCTCAACGTCCACTCCTGGTACCTAACATTGGTTACATCACGATACACACTACATTGGACAAGTTTTCGCTACAATTACGTTACTGAGCACAATACCGAACAACCAGCTCAACAGCACTGCAAGCTGATTAGCTTGAACTTGCGGTCACCTCGCACTTCTTTCTCTCTGTCTTCGTCGCCCTTAAAGTCGAAAAGGCGGGAGGAAGAGGACGAATGTTCCTCTTCGGCCGACAAAATACGAAGTGATACTCTAACATTTCCCCCTCCACCCGCATCAGGGATAGGAATGGTCTCGAAAGAAGAAACCGAGGCGTGTGAATCCCACAGCCCATCGACAATCACGGTTGACGTGCTGCTAATTCCCTCGTCCTGTAAATCTTCCGCTGTTGGCCCAGCCTCAATCTCAACCATGACCGCACCCATACCCGCGTAGCTCACAAGGTACTCTATGTCTAGAAGCCCCACGCCACCGTCGCAAACAAGTTCGAACGTCGCCACCGCCGGATCGGTGGCATATTTCCTGAACCCTGTCAGTCCAGCTTCCCCGGAGAGTTTCAACACCGACCATCCTGTAACTGACACCAGCTCTTCCGGGGGTGGGGCGTCCAAGTAACTGCCTAGCTCAAGAACGGATGAACGAGGGTTCGCGAGGCAGCCCATCCCACCCTTGAATCGCTGGAGTTCCTTCTCGCTGGGGCTAGGGTTCGGTAACGGGCCATACACCTGTTTCCGTTAGTCGGTCGATGATACAAGCGGGGCAGCACAATGATTTGGATTTGGCACCAAAGCTCGCCACGGCGCTGGAGCGATGTGAGCACTTTCTTCCAATCGCCAATCGAATCCTAGGCTATGGGGCACCAAGAGTGCCCCAAACGGCTTGGTAGGGTGTCACGCAACACGGAAGGATGTCACGCAACACGGACCTAGCTCTTAGGCCAAAAGCATATAGTGCGCACATTTCCCGAACCTTGAGCGCAGAAACACAAAACACCCTTCCATGTCTATTTCGGTGTAACCCTCACCTCCAAGAACCGGGCGTACGATAGTTGAAGGTAGTACGCGACGACATCGGCCATGAGCTGGTGCACTTGCCAATCAGGATGGACCGAGTGTCCCCAGATGTCTTCTGCAGCGGCGTAATCTTCCTTTTTCGGCCAAACCGCATCCCGGAAGGACACCTTTGTGTGACCAAGAGTTGAGTGCGAAGAGACAGTCGTACGAAGAGAGACGAGATCGTGAAGTACTCTCCCTGAGGTTCCTTCTCCGTTGCCTCGCGAATCGCTGCCCTCGTACTGTGACGGGCCAAGAACTTCATGAGCTGTCATGTCCCCGCCATGGGAATGTAGCGGAGATAACTCACTCTGCTGCGGACGCTGCAATGGTTCTTTAAGCGGTTTCCGAACCTTGTCCTCAACGCCAAACTTTCGTGGCGGAAATTTCTTGCCGTCCCCGGCCATGACCTCATATTTTGGCTATTGGGCGGCCTTCGAGTGTCGCCTTTATTGTTGAATCAAAGCTACACTGAAGTTGTGCTACCGTCGCTGCCGCAATCGACGCCGAACCAGGATTCCGAGTATGTTGCACTGTGAGTGGGCGAGTGTATTACGAGCATCATCTACCGCTCCCGAACTTTGACTGTTCGGAAACCCTCCTACCACATTTCGAAACCAAGCGCTTGCAGAAGCCACGCAACTGCAACAACTAACTCACCATGGGAATGTCGTGCTTTTGTGTTACGCTGGCGTGCACCTCCGCCATGTTTTCGCTTTGCCATGGGGATTCAAGACTTCGGAATGGTGCGATGAAACTCTCCGCGTAGAGGAGCGCTGGCGAGTGGAACATTGTGTCTCTGACGTAGCGGATGAGTAGTTCGTGCGCCATCCTCAAGTACTCCAGGTTGTACTCAAATTCTTCGATGACCGCGTCATTTACTCCAAAGTCGACGATAATGAGGTCGACCTGGATCCGCCAAGCAACAATGCGGGGGGGTTACGGTGGTGCGCAAGTAGCGCATAAGCGTGCCATCATAGTTGAAACTGATGGACCATCATTGATTTTCTACCACAGCAGTCCTCACACAACTTAGCAGTTGTCACAGTAGCATTTTGCGCGTCTATGCTACAGCAACGTGAGTGTATCATCGCTCGTGGTATACAGTATGATAGCATCCAATTTTTGTCATCTCGAGCATATCAACCCTTTTCGAGGCCAAGACAAACAGCCCTCAAGTTGTATACCCCACCGGATTCCCCCCTTCTCACCTCCAAGTCCACTGGCAGGGCCTTGTCCAGAAGTTTATGGAGAAATTGCATTACTCCATATTTGGGGACACTCGCGTTTGTGACCTATCAGCATGTTGGCGTTTGAAAAGAGTGTTACGTGAAGAACGGGGTGGCGGCGGTAGGATGGATTCGCATTGTTAAAAAAACATTCTTTCGACTTCCGGATGCGCTCGAAAAACGGTCAACTGGCTTCAACTTAGCAGGAAGCATCAGCATGGTAGCCAACGTCGGGATGATGGATAATGATATTCCTAACCCTAGCCCATGAATCTGTACCTGCCAATCAGTTTGGTACAATACGCTCATGAGAATGTGTCTTGGGCTGTGGTCTCGGCAAGCTTTTTAATTCGTCTGTGCCTGCAAGCCACTCTCAGTACCTCGATATCCAGATCTTCGTATTCTTCCTGAAACCACTGCTCCACGCGATGGGGCCATGCACAACCGTTCCCCTTGAGTCCTGCCGGTGATGAGCAATCATGTCCGTACGTGACACTCCCCCCTAGAACAACGACCTTCAGCACCCCTCTACCCCTCGCCCTCCGAAAGGCGCGGTGCAAAGAGAGGTCGGACGTACTGTACCGAATCGCCCGCGCGAACATCTCCGGCTTCAGGGGGTACGGGTCCAGGGTCAGCGTCTCGTCATGGAAGCAATCGCACTCGAAAACGCCGTGGGTTTCCCAGCACTGATACCCAACGCTAGAAGACAAGTCCAAAGCAGGGGCCGCCTCTGCGGCGTCTGCCGTTGGCGAAGCCGTCAGCAAAACGCCAGCAAGCGCGAGGAAGACCGCATCCATGGCCCAAGCTCGTCTTCTTCCTTTCCCGCGTCGGGCATAGCGTCCGTCCGTGTTGGGTGGGCGTCGCACGTTTGAGTGAATCTGTGTCACAAAGGGAGGATCGGAGCCTGCGGTGAATCTAGACGCGGGCGAACCGGACCAACTCTGCTGTCAATGTTGCGGCTTAAGTTGAGCAAAGCTGGCGGCGATGGCTGAGTAAAACATCGTATCCTTTTATTGTGAATGTTGAACCTCTATGACACTCCCTGCGGTCAACCCTCTGAACAGCACGTTATTTTGGGTATTCAAACCGCGGTCATGGGGTCTGTAAACAGTGCGGGAGGGGAGCCACTTAAAGGAACGGTCGACTGAGACGACAGGGGTAGGTACATTTGGGGGGCTTTGGGGACAGGATGTGACAATGTTGGGGGGGGGAGATCGTTGAGCACCGGGAGAACTTTCGTTTCCATCGCCGTCGGGCATGCGGTGGGGGCAAAATAGCAACTACCATGGAGGAGAAGGCCTGGAAACGACTCGTCCTGTACGCACCTCTCCCGCACACAAGGTGTGGTAACGTGTGGTGTCTTACGTTTCTTGCGGTAAACAATGAATGGCCTACACGGGTCGGAGGTATCGTCTGTGGCCTAAAAAACGTTTCGCCACACCTAGCATCCTCAGAAATAGCCCCAATACCAAACGGCTGAAACAGCTGTAGTAAAGAATCTGGTGTGCCCTGGCGGTTTTGCTCTCCGAAACCAACCGCCTCGCGACGTCTTGGTTATTCTCGGATCACACATGTAGCCCGGGAACCATCGCATGGTAGATGTCATTCGGAAACCAGCCATCACGGCATTGAACGGCGTGTTTCTCATGGTACCTGGCCACCATGGTACTTGCTGTACGGGAACCAGCACGGTACACGGGGACAAACAGATATTTTAGTTGGGATTGTTTGCTATTTCACCTGTGATACCCTACAACCTGTGCCTAGACATCCGGAACAGCCCCAAACCGGCTACACTCCTGACTGCCGTTTGTGAATGCAGGCTTCGCGACAGAACCAGGCAGAATCTTGCAGAACTCCAACAATGGCGAACACCAGAGCTACGCCGACCACAAAATAAACCAACAACCAAACACCGCGGAAGACACCACCCCCCCTCTCCTGGAGGAACCCATGTAATATGGAACTCTGCCTATATCAAAGCTGTTTTTACGTTTGTCGCAGTGCGAGTTTCTTCACCAAATATTTGAACAGGCAAGGACTTTTGCGAAAGAAAATCTAAGACACATACATACATACATAGATCCTCAAATGCGCGTCGGAGAGGGGAGGGGGCAAAATCTGAGACGTTTTTCGCAGAGACTTGCTGCTTCTCTGCGTGCATTTCATCCGAACCTCGAGACCACCAACAGATGAAGGACACCCCGCGATCCCCACACCCTCGTAATCGGACGCTTCTCAAACACCCGACGAGCCTTGCGATGTGTTACGCATAGCAGGCAAGGGCAACCTCGCAAGGCGGAAGGCTGTCAGCACATTTATTGAACCCTGGTCAATGCCCTATGGGGCCCTCAACTCTGGGAAAGCGTAGGTGGTGACTATCACCTGCCACCGGAGGTATTGATGGATTTTGGGAGGAATTCCAAGTGGGGCCGAGCGACGCAGTCAAGCTTGGGTGGAGTGGAGAGTTTGGCGAGCCTTTGTAGACTCATTCAATTCAACTACTCCCAGAATCAAGTCTGTATCCGCACTGCATGAATACACCATATCCTGACCACCATACAGCCCCCGATTTTTCTTGGCCGAAAGCTCAGTTTGTTGGACTTGGGGGGCTTGGCGTTCGTTCATGTTTGAATGTTGGTGAAATGGGACAATTAGCCGAGCTTTCGGTGGTTTCTAGATGTTGTTGTCATGCTTTATATTCTGCTATGCCCAAGGTCGCTCTAGTGTGCTACAGTACATGTGGGTGAATGTGTCCCGGCACCCATGACCAGCGGATATAGAACGGGTAAGGACAAGGATGCTTAGCAATCATGAAAAAACAGCGCTTGCTCGGGCTGACGTGCGCACACCCCACTTAGATAAAACATTTGCACAGGTACAGTAGTCTTCATGGCGGCAACCGACCTACCATCCATTATATCTGGAGTACAAGAATACGTTCCTACACGTTGCGGTGCTTGTCGACCTGAACGTTTTCTTTTGGTGAGTTATAAGGACGACCATAGCAAACGTCAACTTTGAATCAAATCCATGAGTTGATGCTCAAGCTTGGGTTGATGTGTTTATCGTGCCTACCATATATAAATACATACAGCAGTGTGCCCCGCATAAGGACACCAATAATGAGGAAACCCCGGTTAGGGACAACATGTTTTCACAGGCAGGCATGGTGGCTTGCAGAATGTACAACATCAGGAGGGCTATAGACACTTCCCGGGCTTAAGGACACATTTTTGTGAAAAACAGGGGTGTCCTCAACCTGTACATACATGTGCCTACATATATATGTTGGTGTCATGCTTATACTTCCTTTTTTGTTCGCTTGCGGCAACAGAAAACCATCCGAAGTGTCGCAACGCTCAACGAATGACTCAAATATTATCCGTTTTCCTGGTCATTTTACCTAAATTCACGAAGGAGTTGTATATTTTTCCTGTTCACACTAACTTGTAACATTTGTTCGTGCATACTGTACATGATACAAGATATCACACCCACCTGCAAGACCGATTTTCAGAGCCGGCATCAATTGGAGCGAACTATGAGCTGTTCTTAACGATTCCAACGCCACATGTTCTGAAATATTGCCACGTTTTTTTCTGCTAAACTTAGTTCTAGAAATGGAGCTTCGAAAATCGGTCCAGGGTGTGTGATATCTTGTGTCACCTATGTTACGCATACACTTGGTTCAGACTAAGCAAAGCAGGTGTGCCCGTTACGGCCGCCTGCACGCGTAATTGCAACAATTTTGTCTTCAATTCAACGAAAGTATCCACGAAAGCAAGGTTCTCGTACAACAGTGCGATATTTGGACAAAAGGGGGCTCCGTGACGCCTCACAACGGCCCTGTACGCCAGCAACACACATCCAGGCATCGACAGATCACGTAGATGACCAGAACCTTGGTTGCGTATGATCCTACTTGCTGCTCTCAGCACAGCCACCGAGTTTCGAGCCGAAAACCGGATAATGCAAAAGTTATGTGTGGTGCAAAAAATCCTGTACAGCAGTCCGCGGTAAGTCTACCTATATGGGCGTTTTTGTAACCGCCAAATCTTCAAATCTGAGTCCGAGACGGCTCAAACGATGGCCCAGACAAAAAGTATGAATTCATTGATAATCTGTCTCAGACTTTTTCCTATGATAGAGATGGATTCGTTGTGTCATATGAAGAAAAAAAAAGAAAAAAGCTAGCTTTCACGTGATATAGAATGCGACACCTAACCCCTAAGAAATGATGGAGTTGCGTCGTTTTCCGTACTACTGCTGTAGGACCCTTACTAATAGGGATTTAGCATGGAAAAAAACAGACTTTCGCGGCTCATCCGGTGTACAATAGGTACATTCAGGAACGGCCCTTGCGGGTGTAGTTCGTGCCTTATGCGGTAGATCGCTGCTCCACGGCGTCGGAGAACAACCAACGAATTTATTACTACATGCAATAACGAATAATATTATTGAATCTACATCATTGAAATGTAAATGTAAACCCCCGGTGTGTGGGCGTACGCACGCCCTTCGCGCGGGCTGTTTTCATGAGCAAGCAGCAGGACTATGGTCCCCATCTTCCTCAATAATTCCCTGTTATGTACTTAATTGCTCTTGCAGGTGCCCACGACAAGCAGTTAAACGGGGGTTATTGCCTCAAAATGGCTTGCGTCGCACTTGTGTTGAGCTCGGTAAGAATATCCATGAAACAAACGCCCCACCTGCGCGGCGGCACGAAGTGCCAACCGCCACTTGAGGATAGAGTCTTTGGACAGCCCCAGTTCCCCCTTGGAGGCAAGGCGGCGGTAAGCTTAGCGTTACGTTTCGAGTTCCATGGGATACATCTGGGCGTACCCCTGCCAGAGCGGAGGTCAACTGGTGGCGGATGGATCTCACTGGACACCGCAGTGACCTGTCTGGTACGAGAGAAGGAGCAGCCGGAGGAGTGTTGGTGGACCGACAGACCACTTGTCCACGCCCGGTGGACCTTGCGTTTGGCGCGATGGGAAGGGGCGGAAGGAGGGACGCCAAGCAGTGGTGGGAATTGCGGTGCGGGAGATGATGATCCTGCCGTGGTGGCCTTCCTTGTGATTTACGTGTTCACTACAGGAGCATGAAATTTGCACGAATGGGTGTTCACGGAGCGATTTTTTATTGGAGTTGGGGGTTTACCATCACTACGCCCCGTGACCTTTCCAAATGATAGCAATTGCTCCGTGACATATAAAAAAAAAACGGTTCGTTCCATGAGCGTTTGCCCCCAACTGAACCGATACAAAAAACAAGGGCCCGCACACCGTGCCCAAGATGCGATGTTTTCGATGTATGTATGAACTACAACAAACTTTTTCACGAAACACAGGTAAAAACTCCGTCATGTTTCCGTATGACTTTCACACCGTCTGATGGTGCACCGTCGCCAAGGCCCCGGGTTCTCGCGGTTCATCCTCTGGTGTAAGAAATCACTCAGTGAAAATATACTGAACGACGTACCGAACGTTCCACTCCACTCCGCGAAACTTGAAATTCTACCTTCTCGTGCAATTGCTCCGCTCAGTTCCATGATTCCAGGAGGAATAAAAAAGGGCCCGCTCTGCTCCATGACATTGTGAAATGCTAGCAAGACGCAAGATCCTCCGCGGTGGATTGCTACTGTATGAACACCGCTGGACATTTTGGTCATGATAGTCTTCTTCATGCCAGTCCTTGTGCGCATCTAGTTGTATATAGTTGTGACCGTACCCTAAATGGACTTCCACTCCGCCCTTGTCTTCGTCTCCATCGCAAACAGGCAAGCGAGGCGGTC